TAAAGGCCACAATTTCAGAGGCTGATTTTGGGTGTGTGTGTGTGTGTGTGTGTGTGTGTGTGTCCTTTTTTTTCCTACATCCTGGGGCCCAGTTTTAAGGAAAATGCAGCCTCGTGGGGTCCGGGTGCTCTTTGGGCCCCACAACTTCAGAGGCTGATTTTGGGTGTGAGGGTTGGGTTTAGGACAAAGGTCTGAATGGAGTTTAGGTTAGTTTTAGGGTCAGGTAGGTACCTGTGAGGTTAGCCTTAGGGTTTGTGGTCAGGGTTAGGATATAAAATTTCCAAAAAATGAATCGAAGTCAATAGACGGGCCCCACAAGGATACAAAAACAAGTTTGTCTGTGTGTGTGTGTGTGTGTGTGTGTGTAGTCGCAGCTGCTACCACTATATGAATGGAATTTAACACTGGAGGCAGTGTTCCAGTTTAAATTTATGAATGGAAGCAAAAATATTTCCACTTCCCAGTGCTACTGGAATGCACCATTAGACTATACACCTATGTGGGGCCCAACTGGTACTCATAGGAACCTAAACCTAGTCCCCATTTGGGGAAAGGCCATTGGTGGGTTGGGGGTTAGGTTTAGGACCATAGTATGAATTGAGTTTAGGTTAAGTTTAGGACAAGAAAAGTTGAAATATTTAATGCACTGGCCATCACTGTCCTGGTACTCCAGCTCCCCCACAAAGTGACTCCCAGTCGGCAGAAGAAAGGTTCCTTTAAACTTGGAGAATGATGAAAATTAGTATTATATTTAAAAAAAAAATTAGAGGTAAGAATCACAGTGGTTGGAGTTTACAGTATGTTTCTCCAGTGATTAATTGAAATGTTCATTTTTAGATTCTGTTGTCTTGGTCAGGATTAGGATCAGAATCAGGATTTATTATTAGAAATTAGAGGTCAGACCAGGGGTCAAAGTTATGTAAATTTCAGACTGGTTGATTTTAGGCGTTGTAGTGTAGATTAAGGTTTTAGAGTTAAAATTTAGGCTCAGTTTAATTTTTAGGTCATCCCCTAGCTGGTTAACCTTAGGCGCTGCAGCGTGGGTTAGGCTTTTAGAGTTAAAATTTAGATTTAAAATTTAGACTCAGGTTAATTTTAGGTTATCCTCTGACTGGTTAATCTTAGGCGCTGCAGTATGTGTTAGGGTTTTAAGAGTTAAAATTTAGACTCATGTTAATCTTAGGTCATCCTCTAACTGGTTAACCTTAGGCGCTGCAGTCTGGGTTAGGGTTTTAAGAGTTAAGATTTAGACTCAGGTTAATTTTAGGTCATCCTCTGACTGGTTATTTTTAGGCGCCRTAATGTGGGTTTGGATTTTAGAGTTAAAATTTAGACTCTGGTTAATTTAGGTCGACCTGTGGCTGGTTAATTTTAGGCATTGTGCTCTCTGGTTAACTTTTAGGTACTGTGGTCTCTGATTGTTTAATTTTTAGGCATTATATTTTTTGAGTCCTGGTAGACTTTAGGATTTAGATTTCTAAGTTTAAAGTTAAAAACTAGAACTTCCTAATTTAAGATGTTAAATTTGTGATTCAATAATTACCATTTCATAATCAAGACCATCAATTCACAATCCCAAAACTAAAAATCCATAATCCAAGACCTAAAAATTCAAAATTCATACCTACCAATTCATAATCTAAAAGCTGACAGTTTATAATTAAATTCCATTTATAATTAGTTGAAGTTAAAGGTTAGTCACAATGGGCGGAACTTGTTTTGACAGTGAAGACTAGTTGGTTTTAGGTATTTATGGTTAGCGTCGGAGTTAAAACGAGTTTTAACCAGATTACTAATCCAAATCCTTTCTGTTCTTTTCCTTTGTGCTATGGACCACCTGGGATTGACATGCAGCACTGTAGCTTTCACGCTTTCCCAACCATGCAGAATAAAATGATGCACAAGTGGGGTGTGTGTCTCTTTTTTCCTCAAAATAT